GGTGATTTCTCAGAAAATTAGGAAACAACCTTCCTCAAGACCCAGTAATACCACTTTTGGGTATATATCCAAAAGATGCTCAATCACACTCACACCACAAGGAAATTTTCACAACTATGTTCATAACAACATTATTCATAGTAACCAGAACCTGGAAACAACCGAGATGCCCCTCAACCAAAGAATAGATAAAGAAAATGTGGTACATTTACATAATGGAGTACTACTCAGTGGTTTAAAAAAGTAAGATCTTGGGGGCTGGAGAGATGGCTCAGAGGTTAAGAGCATTGCCTGCTCTTCCAAAGGTCCTGAAGTTCAATTCCCAGCAACCACATGGTGGCTCACAACCATCTGTAGTGGGGGTCTGGTGCCCTCTTCTGGCCTACAGGCATACACACAGACAGAATATTGTATACATAATAAATAAATAAATAAATATTTTATAAAGTGAGATCTTTTAATTTTTCAGGCAAATGGACAAAACTAGGGAAAAAATATTCCCCACACCCAGAAAGACTAATATAGTATGTACTCACTCATAAGTGGATACCAGACATAAAACAAAGAATAACCAGCCTGCAGCCCACAACCCCAGAGAAGCTTGAATCCTCTTCCAGAAACAGATGGAAGCAAATGCAGAGATCCACAACTAACCATGTGGCTGAGATCCCAGAGTACAAAGGAAGTGAGGGAGGAGGGATAATATGAACAAAGGGGTCAAGACCATGATGGGGAAATTCACAGACTCAGTTGACCCAAGTTAGTGGGATATCACTGACTTCGGACTGACAAATGAGAAACCTGCATAGAACTGAACTAGGGCCCCTGAATACAGGTGACAATGGTGTGGCTTGGTCAATATGTGGGACCCCTGGCAGTGGAGAAGGATCTAACTCTGTAGTGAGGAGCTGCGGGCAGGCCTGCTTTTCGTCCCACCCGGCTCCCACACAGCTAGCTTAGCCCCGGAAATAACAACACACAAATTGTATTCATTTAAACATTGCCTGGCCCATTATCTCTAGAGAGTTAGTTACTGGCTAACTCTCACATCTTGATTAACCCATTTCTAATAATCTGTGTAGTACCATGAGGTGGTGGCTTCCTGGGAAAGATTCAGTATGTCTGACCTGATGGCTGGCTCCATGGCGTCTGCCTCATTGCCCTTTTCCCAGCATTCTGTTCTGTTTACTCCGCCTACCTAATTTTCTGTCCTATCAAAGGGCCAAGGCAGTCTCTTTATTAACCAATGAAAATGACACATAGACAGAAGGCCCACCTACATCATAACTCTAATGCATAAACTGACTTTGTGGAGCCCATTCTCTATGGAAAGATACCTTGCTCAACCTAGGCACAGGGGAGGGGACCTTGTTCCTGCTTCAGTGAGGTGATGGGTCTTAGTTGACTTTTCAGGGAAGGCTTTACCCTATCTGAGGAGTGGGTGGAAGTGGGGTGGAGGGAAGAAGAGACAGGAGGAGAGGAGGGAGGGGAAACTGGAATTGGTACATTTAAAAAAAAATTCTGTATATGTATCTATGATTTGGTGCACATATTTTAATTTTCCAAATTCTGCAAAATGAAACACATCCATTTGCCAAATTTTATTTCTCTGAGTACCCTTTGGGTTACTTCCTGCAAGCAGTGGAGTTTGGTTATACAAGGAAAAAGTAGAACATTTCCTTGGCTTGTTACTAAGTGATGGAAAAAAAACTTTTCAAAGGCTTGTTACTGACATGGTGCTTTTTATAAAATTTTGAGGCCTGCAGCATATTTTCTACTAATAATTGATCAATTTTATCATCACCTTGTGCTAGAGGGCCTGGCAGACCCATATGGGATCTGCTACATATATATGTGAGATGGTTCCTATTACTGTTTCCTGTAACTGTACAAATAAAAAGTTAATTCTTAATCATCCGGAATGAGTTCAGTGGTTTCAATATGCAAAACTACTCTTCTTGCATATTGAGAGTCAGAAACTATATTAAGGGGAGGATTGGGGAGAGCTTGGGGGAATGGGATGGTTGAGATAGAGGAAGGACAGATATGGGAGCGGGGAAGAAGATATCTTAATTGAGGGAGCCATTTTGGGATTGGCAAGAGGCTTGGCTCTGGAGGGGTTCCCAGGAGTCCATGGGGATGACCCTGGGCATTGGAGGAGAGCATGCCTGAACTGGCCTTGTCCTGTAGTCAGACTGATGTCTATCTTGAATATCACCACAGAACCTTCGTCTGGCGATGAATGGAAACAAAGACAGAGACCCACATCGGAGCACTGGACTGAGCTCACAAGGTCCAGTTGAAGAGCAGAAAGAGGGAGAATATGAGCAAGGAAGTCAGGACCACAAGGGGTTGGTTCACCCACTGAGACAGTGTGCCTGAGCTAATGGGAGCTCACCAACTCCAGCTGGACTGGGACTGAACGAGCATGGGATCAAACTGGACCCTCTGAATGTGACTGACAATGGGGGCAGACTGAGGGGCCAATGATAATGACACTGGAATTTGTCTCTACTGCATGTACTGGCTTTGGGGGATCCTATTCTCTTTGGTTGCATACCTTCCTAACCCTGGATGTAGGGGGGAGGGCCTTGGACTTCCTACAGGACAGGGTGCCTTGCCCTCTCTAAGGACTGGAGGTGGGGGAGGGTGTGGGGGGAACAGAAGGGAAGTAGGAAGAGGGGAGGAAGTGGGAATTTTGATTGTTATTATTTATAAAGTAATTAAAAAACTAAAAAAAAAGAACACAAGCTTGTAACTGCAAACACCAGGGATGGATTTTTATATATTCTCATAGGAAAGAGATCAAAGGTATTGTGCTTTTTTTTTTTTTTTTGGTTTTTCAAGACAGGATGTCTCTGTAGCTTTGGAACCTGTCCTATACTAGCTCTTGTAGACTAGGCTGGCCTCAAACTCACAGAGATCTACCTGCCTCTGCATCCCAAGTTCTGGGATTAAAGGCGTGCACCACCACCACCCAGCATAGCTTTTTTTTAATATCCTTTGTTTAGATTTTCTCATGTTCATTATTCATAACAACTTGTAACCCACATTCTAAACAAAGGAAAATATCCATAGTCCATTTTTTAGGAATGTGGGCATAGTTTTCCAGGCTACTTCCTGCTGGTTGGTGGTGCTGATGATCTTATGGGGACCTAAAGAAAATTTAGAATTATGATCAAGTTATGACTGGAGTGTCCTGTGAGGCTTCTCTCAGGTAGCAGTCTTGAATCTGTTCTGGATGTAGAACTCAGGCATCCGGGACATCTGTTCCTACGGGAGATTTCTCAGGTGGTTTTCCTTGATCAAACCTGATTTTTCTTAACTCAGAATGAATCCACAGCCTCTCATTTCCTGTGGAAGCAAAAGCAAAACCTCTTCTCCAAAGTAACATACCTTTTGACTTCAGTTTTGAAGCCAAAGTATTTTCAAAATACCTATCTTGGTTTAATTCAGCAGCATTTATAAACAAATACCTTTTGGCAGCTGTCACTCCTTCCTCAGCATTCAAACAATTCAAAGAGAACATAATAACATATAGTATCGAGACTTTCTGTGTATTTTTTGTCTTTACATGACTTTATTTTAAACTCTATTTCTTTTATTTTTAATTTTTGGCTTTTTGAGACAGGTTCTCTTTGTATCTTTGGCTGTCCTGGAATTCCCTCTATAGACCAAGCTGTCCTTGAATTTAAAGAGATGGCCTGCCTCTGTCTCCCAAGTGCTGGGATTAAAGGTGTGAGCCACCACACCTTGAACTCACAAGAGATCTGTCTTCCTCTGCCTCCCAAACCTTGGGATTAAAGGTGTGTGCCTCCACACCCAACTAATCTTTTTTGTTTTTAGATTTATTTATTCTGTGTACAGTGTTCTGTATGCTTTCAGGCCAGAAGAGGGCACCAGATCTCATTTGGATGGTTGTGAGCCATCATGTGGTTGCTGGGAATTGAACTCAGGACCTTTGGAAGAGCAGACAGTGCTCTTAACCTCTGAGCCATCTCTCCAGCCCCATCTCTTTTTTTAAAGGACTTTATGCTTTATTTTTCTCCCAAGCCTACATATATTTTTAAATACACAGTAAACCATTTAGAGGTTTTTTTCGTCTTTGACTCTATCTTTACTGTTTATCTCTCTCTTTTTCTGACCACATGAGTCTTTAATTTGCTAAGCAATATGGGTAGAATTAAAGCTGTGACTTTGACAACTGGATGCAGCCCATTTTTTAGCTCTCTGAGATTCCAGCCTCGTGACAGAGTTACCGGCCAGAGCCATGTTTATTGCCACAACTCTATGGCGTTTCAAGGTCCCTGCCACCACCAAAAAGCATGTGGTCAGCTTTTCATCAACACCATTTAAGTGTTTAGTGGCAGGACCTCTTAAAAAAGCTGCAGGGTTTTGCAGCTAATGCTGAGTCATGAAGCCTCTCTTAAATGAAATCGTTTGCCTCTAGCAAGCAGAGTCCATCTGAGAAAATGCTGCTATCAATGAGCCATGTTTAACTCTGTTCTTTTGTCTTTAGAATAACTTCCCAAGCTCTCTCAGGCTTTATGTGGATGCAGTTGCCCACGTGGGCGCCATTCTGTTGACTGAGGTTTCTGTCCTGCCTGGTTCCTGTAATCGTTAAGTCCCAAACAAATCACACAGAGGTCTACATTCGTTATAAACTGATTGGCCTAGTAGCTCTGACATCTTATTAACTCTTACAATGTATATTAGCCCATTATTCTTGTCTATGTTAGCCATGTAGCTTGGTACCTTATTTGACAAGGCAGTTATATCTTAAGTAGTCATTTGGGGCTTTCTGAAGACTAATCTACTGTGGGCATACTTCTGGGTTTGGATGCAAGCCAAAGTAACAAATAACTAGAGAGAAGAGGAGAAAGTAGATAGCAAAGTGTCTAGCAAAAATCTACTGGGGAAGCTGTTTTAAGGCATTCAACTGAAGTGAGTGCCCAGTAGAGTTCTGGCCATAGTGTCCATCATATGAGATTCCAAGCCAAAAAAAAAAAAATGCTGAAATAATGTCATCAGATCTGCTGCTCACAAAATCCAATAGAAACGGACTGGGGAAATTGAGGCAGTCAGCTGAAGGTCCCATGGTTGAAGTTCCAGGTTCTCATTTCTATGGTAGACACTCTTAAATGGTGAGATAAACAATACTAACTGTTGGAAATAGAGTACCTTCCAACAGATTCCAGGACCATGGTCTTTTCACTCTTAGTCTGTTTCGCTGTTGTCATTCTTCCCTATGTAGAGTTAGGGGGCTTTTGGGAGGAAGCCCATGCCAAGATGAATGACTGGGGAGGATACTGAGATACAAGTGCTAGGCTCTGAAATAGGGGGTGGAAAGCCAACTTCTAGAGGAGCTCAGAAACGCGTACACATAACTTATCAACATAACATACATTACACTTCCTGGGCTTTACAGACGTGAAAAGCAGACAGAGCTGCAGTGTGAATTCAAGAGTCTGGATAGGAGTTCGTCCCTTCATGGAGGTACTTAACTGCTCTTGCTGCTTTGAATAAATGAATGTGCACCAGGAATGTCTGCCAAAGGCCTCTGACAGTCCCAGACTCAGAAAGCTCTTTAATTTCTTCTAGATCTTTACAAATCTTGCTGGAAAATGCCCAAAGTCAAAAGAAGCCGGAAAGCTCCTCCACATGGCTGGGAATTGATCGAACCAACAATGGATGAACTAGATCAAAAGATGAGAGAAGGTAAGTGGTGATGTTCCTAACTGGGTAGGTTGGATGAAGGAGGCTCAGGTGCCTCCAACAATAGACAGACAACTGTGAGAAGAGGCACATTGCCAGCTGGTCAAGTTTTGTTTACCTATCAATTCAGAATGCTCGAAAGTTCTGAAATGGGATTATTAGCGTGCATATTTCTGAGAGAAAGATCAGGTCTCTTTTTTGCTTTAAGTGTTGTGTTGGAGACAGGGTCTCACTGTATAAATTTTTTTTCATTACTTTTGGCATAGTGTTTCTACATACCTCTAGCCATCCTGTATCTGTGTAGATCAGGCTGGCCCCGAGAGAGCTGTCTGCCTGTGTCTCCTTAGCACAGAAATCAAAGGTATACCATAATGCCCAGCTTGCTCTTTCTTTTTCTTTCTTTCTCTTTCTTTCTTTTTTTCTCTTTTAAAGATTTATTTTACTGGGTTTTAATTCTACTGCATGGACTGACTTTGTGGGAGCCTGGTTTGTTTGAATGCTCACCTTTATAGACCTGGATGGAGGGGTGAGGACCTTGGACTTCCCATAGGGCAGGGAACCCTGACTGCTCTTAGGACTAGAGAGGGGGGGGCGGGGGGCAGGGGGGAAAAGGGAGACGGGGAGGAGGTGGAAATTTTTAATTAATAAATAAATAATAGATAAATAGATTTATTTTACATTGGGGGAGAAAGGGGTATATGCTTGGAAGTACAGGAGGCCAGAAGAGTGTCAGATCCCCTAAAACTGGTGTTACAAGCATTTGTAGCTACCCTGACATGGGGGTTGGAAACAGACCCATTGTGAAGCATTTATATGCCCCCCCTTTGAGATTCTTTGTAGTGCCCTGGGTCTTAGAAAATCTTTATCCCTGGGTTTTTGCACCATGTAGCAGTTTCTGCATCACAACCCCACTGTGGAATCCTGGCAGTTAGCTTGTCTCTGGACATTTTATCTGAAGCCCCAAGTATATGCTAGCCTTTGGTGAGCACAGCTTCTCCTAGTTTGGTTGCTGTCACTATGATAAAAACACCCTGATCAAAAGCAACATAGGGAAGGAAAGGGTTTATTTGGTTTACAATTCCAGGTTAGAGTCTATCATTGAGGGGATGTCAGACTGGAACTAAAACAACACACACCCACAGTCAAAGAGCAGAGATCAGGGCTACAGAAATAACTCAGTGATTAAGCACATGCGGCTCTTGCTGAGAACCAAGGCTCATTTCTTAACACCCACATGTCTACGCACATCTGTTTATAACTCCAGTTCCAGGGGATCCAGTACCTCTTCTGACATCTATGGGCACTGGGTACCTACATACATGTAGACCAAACACTCATATGTAAATGATCTAAGAAACCTTAAAAAAAAAGTGGTAAATGCACACATGGTGCTTGCTCACACAGAAGTTCAACTAGCTTTCTTCACTCTTAGACAGTTCAAGATACACACACACACACACACACACACACACACCGAGAATGGTGCCTCTACTCAGAGTAGATCTTCTATCTCAGGCCAGCTTGATCTAGCTCATTACTCACATGAGGCCCCCTTAGGTGATTCTAAGTCTGCCAAGATAAACAGAAGACATCTTGCTGTATGACTACTTGCTTGTTATCTGTGTGGTGTGAGAGTGGCTTTTGCACAAACGTGTACTACAAAGCATGGATAGAGGAACTTACCAAAGTCAGTTCTCTTCACCCTGAGGATTCCAGGGATCAGTCTCATAGTAGTTTTTAATCCCACCACCACTCTGAATTTCTCTATTTTTTTCCAAGTTATTTTTATATATGAGTGTTTTGCTTCATGTGTACCATGTTTGTGCCTAGTGTTCGCAAAGGCTGAAAGAGGGACTTTGGATCCCTGGAACTGGAGTTACAACATAAGCTGCCACCTAGGTTCTAGGAATTGAACCTGGGTTCTCTGCAAAAGCAGCCAGTGCTGTTATCCACTGAGCCATCTTTCCAGCCCCCTTCGAATTGCTATTTAAAACAATCTTTAAAATGCATGTTTACAGCTGATCTGATCATTGCTATTGAGGTCATACCTATAGCAATAATTACTAAGCCACTGTTAACGTTGCTTTCCCTTTTCACAATTTGTGCCAGTTTCTGTTCAGTACTCAGAACTTGTAGTAGTCAAGCTTGCTATGTATGGGTCAAGAGATCTCTTGGCACAACTCTGACAGTAAAAGAATACAGTGGGTGAAAAGTCTGTATTCATCCTGCTTCAGTGTGTTCCTAAACTCATGGTAACTCTAGACATTTCCTACCCCGTTCTGCATTCTGCTAGCAGGGCTTGAGGATTCCAGTTATGTGCACTCTTGTCATTGTCCGTTGTTTTCATTACTATCCCCACGGGTATAAAATAATCATAGCTATAGTTAAGGAAGCAAACATGCTGCATGCTATGCAGACTGCCTAATAAAATACATGCATGCTTTTTTCTCTCCAGCTGAAACCGAACCCCATGAGGTGGAATCTCTGTGGCCCATTTTCAGAATCCATCACCAGAAAACGCGATACATATTTGACCTGTTTTATAAGCGGAAAGCCATTAGTAGAGGTAAATGTGACTGGCTAAATACCTTGGCCTTTAAAAAGTTATTGTTACTCTGTTCATATACATGTGGGGGCAAGTGAATTCCAAGGCTTCAGTGTGAAGGATGTGGGACAATCTTCAGGAATTGGTTCTCTCCTTTTGCCATGTGAGCCTGGGGGGTTGAACTCAGGTCATTAGGCCTGTATGGAAAGCATTCTTGGCCTCTGAGGAAACTTACTGAACTTTTGTATTTGAATAGTTTTAAGATATATATAGTGGTTTATAAAAAGCTGGCTGTCACCAGGTCTGGTGGCACACACATTTAATCCCAGCAGTTTGGGAGGCAGAGGCAGGCAGTTGTCTGAATTCAAGGCTAGCTAGATCTACATAGCAAATTGTAGGACAGTGAGGGGCTGCACAGAGAAACCCTATCTCAAAACAGGTGAAAAAGCTGAGTGTTGAGACCTATAGTTTCAGAACTTGGAAAGCAGAAACAGGAAAACTGGTGGGACTCCAGGCAAGCCTTGACTGTTGTGTGATATCCTGACTCCAAAAAAAAACTAAAAACAATGATTCTTCTCAGAAAATCAGGAAACAACCTTCCTCAAGACCCAATAATACCACCTTTGGATATATATCCAAAGGATGTTCAATCGTGCCACAAGAGCATGTGCTCAATTATGTTCATAGCAGCTTTGTTTGTCACAGCCAGAACCTGGAAACAACCTAAATGCTCCTCGATTGAAAAATAGATTAAAAAAAAAAAAATGTGGTACATTTACACAATGGAGTACTACATAGCAGAAAAAAATAACGACAGCTTGAATTTTGCAGGAAAATGGATGGAACTAGAAAACATTATTTTGAGTAAGATAACCCAGACACAGGAAGAGTTATCACATGGACTCACTCATAGGTGGTTTTTAAACATAAAGCAAAGAAATCCAGCCTACAAACCACAATCCCAGAGAACTTAGACAACAATGAGGACACAAAGAGAGACTTACATATATCTAATCTATATGGGAAGTAGAAAGTATAAAAAGATAAGATCTCCTGAGTAAATTGGGAGCATGGGGACTTTGGGGGAGGATTGAAGGGGGAAGGGGAGAGGGAGGAGGGGGAGCAGAGAAAAATGTAGAGCTCAATAAATATCATGGAAAAAATAAAAATAAAAAAACAATGGTTATCTTTGCAAACCCAGCAAGCATCAGTTTATTGATGAAGAAATTTGTGTGTTTTCTTTTTTGAAACAAGGTTACACCAGTGTAGCCCTGGCTGGTCTGGAGCTTACATAGACCATACTGACCTCAAACTAACAATGCTCTACCTACCTCTGTCAAATTCTGGGATTAAAGACCCCCCACTTAAATGGGTTTTTTTTTTTCTGTTTGATTTTGAGGCAGGGCCTGCTGTGTTGTCATAACTCTCCTGGAATTTGATTTGTAGACCAGGCTGGCCTCAAACTCAGAGAAATCTTTGTGTCTCTGCCTCCCTAATGGCAAATCAATTCCACACCAGTTATGTTTTAAAGGGGTATTTATTTTGGGGGGTAAAACTTACATACACATAAATCGTCAGGAAGGGAGCAGGAGCCGGAACCAAGCGCCAGAACCAAGAGGCTGAGCCGAGGCTTGCTGTTCTTCTTTTAAAGAGAAATATACCACACCCCAGTGGGCTGGTATTTCAGCGGCTATTGGCTGACGGAGCGAAAAGTACTCCCGCAGCACTGTGGGCTCGTGCTATTGGCTGAAGCAGCAGAAGGTACTCCTGCAGCACCTCCCAAGTGCTGGAATCAAAGGCTTAGGCCACCATACCCAGCTTAATTTTCCTTTTTAGTCTAGGATGAAGGCAGGTTTATTGTGCCATGTTCTGATGCCTTGTCCCTACCTTTCTGACAGAGCTCTATGAATACTGCATTAAAGAAGGCTATGCAGACAAAAACCTAATTGCCAAGTGGAAAAAGCAGGGCTACGAGAACTTGTGCTGCCTACGCTGCATTCAGACCAGGGACACCAACTTTGGGACGAACTGCATTTGCCAGGTTCCGAAAAGCAAGCTGGAAGTGGTAATGGCTGGACGGGGAATTACTTTCTGTTTAAAGCTCTGCCTTAGTTGGTCATAATGGGTATATTGGGAAGGAATTTTGTCATTGGAAATCTGTCTGCCATCCCTCCCAAGAGTGAGTCCTTCTAATCAGGATCCTTCCTAGTGAGATGTAAGACTGGTCTCAACACTACCTGTGGTCAAATAACTGGATCAAGCCTTTTTTTAGGCAGTAGCTCTGAGGTGATGGAAGGGCTACATTGGCGTGGCTACTAGGCAACCTATCCCTTTCTCTCTGGCCTCATGGTGACAATCTCTGTATGTCTTCTGTCATAACTTTGTTCCAAAGCAAGGAGTGGTGACTCATGCCTTTAATCCCAGCATTTGGGAGGTTGAGACCAGCCTGGACTAGCACTGAGATCGTGTTTCAAAATAATGGTTTTAGGGCTAGGCCAGGCACCAGGCAGTGGTGCTGGGGTATAGTGGCTGAACTCGTTTCCAGACCCTTGAAATGGAATACCAGGACATCAGGCCAGAGAGGCCATCCACTCACCTTTCATTCAGTGCAGATGGCCTCAGCTCAGAAGGCAACTCCTTCTGTCCTCTGTGCCAAGGGTGGGGTTCTGGTATGGATGTACCAAGCCATGGCTAGTGGTTGATGGCTGTTTCCCAAGAGGAGGCTCTTGGTGTCCCAGCCTCTGGATTGTTGCTCAGTTGGTAGAGGGCAGCCTTGTATGCATGAGGCCCTGGTTCCATCTCCAGCACCCCATAGAACCAGATGTGGTAGTGCACATCTGTAGACTAAGCTGTGAAATTTAGAGTTATTCATTATGAGACCTGTCTCAAAGATTTAGCAAAACTTTACCAGAAAACTTTATTTGTTTAAAATGGGCTCTTGGACTCCAGAAAAGAAGGTCAAGACAGCATTGCTCCAGTCCCCCAGCCAGCAACTATGCCGCTGGGACAATACTGTTCTGGCCACAGGAACTTGAGTGCATACCTTTTGCCCCAGTGTCCTCAGGAACTCTGGCCTAAGCCCTCTAGGCAGTAGCAAGTTCACCAGAGGAATAAAAAGGCTGGCTTAAATCAGGTGGTCACACACCTTTACTCCTTTTAGCAGAGACAGCTGAATCTCTGAGTTCAAGGTCAGCCTGCTCTACAGAGCAAATTCTAGGCCATCCAGGATTGCTACAGAGAGAAACCCTGTCTCAAAAAACGAAAAAAAAAAAAAAAACGGACGGGGGAGGCACTGGCTTACAGAGTATTCTTTGTGGCGCTAGTAGGTTTGTCTTGCCTTAATCACACACAGACGTGTAACTTTCAGCTAGTGGTAGCTATTTCCATTTTCCCAAAGGAGCTAAACTATCCAAATGGAAGTGTCTAGGGACAGGGACTGTCCCACCAGCACCTTGTACAGCACGTTTCAGTAGGTATGTGCAGGGTTGTAGCAGTGTATTCAATGTCCCCGTCTTCTGTTACAGGGTCGCATCATCGAGTGCACGCACTGTGGCTGCAGAGGTTGCTCTGGCTGACACCTGTGACTGCGGTACTCTGGACTTTGGACTTTGTTGGTTCCTACCTATTGGGCCACCCCCTTCCAGAGCAGCTCTTCTCAGAGTGGTACCCAGAGAAGAAACCCAGAGGGAACATGGGCTCTAGCGGTGAAGGCTTTCCAGTTGCTGAAATCTGTAAAAATAAAACCATTAGACCTCTTGGCTGTATTCATTCTTTCAGAGCAGCAGGCCGTGGGATGCAGGGGATGGGCACAGTTGTGGCTCGGTGTCATAGCCAGTGTGTGAGCAGAAGCTCACACCTTTCTCAGCAGTGACGGGGAGGGCAACCTGGGCCCAGTATTTTGTCCTCGTGCCTACGTCTGTAAAACGCTGCGGTGCCTCTAGAAAGGCGACACCAGCACATTCTCTGCTTTTAAATGGAAGGAGCTCTTGGGCTCCGCCAGCACTGTGAAAGATGGGAACTTGTCGCAGCAGCATGCTCCATCACTTGTCCCTAAGGCCTCCCCGGACACTAACATTGCCAGTGGTGTCTTGGTTCCTCTTAGGCTTGGTCCGGAACTCCTGCCAGGGGTGGGGGGCTTCCTCTGCTGGCATCACTTTCAGCCACTGCTTGTAATAAGCTCGAAAGCCATCAATCTTCTTCAGGTAGGTGTTATTCCCTTTGTACTGTAATTAGAAGTGAACAGAACTACGTCAAGGTGAGGGACGTACAGGGACAGAAGCTTCACCATGAGACCCATCACGCTGTACAATGAATACGGAACACACTAAGAAAAGCAGGGAGCTCAGAAATGTTCTCAGGCAATCCAAGCCACTGCACGTCACCCAAAGCTAACAGCAGCTGACCTCTGCTCTTCTTTCAAGGAGACTACAGTGGACAGGATAGAAAAATGGACATTCAATTCACTACTGTATTGTGGGGCAGGACGAGCTGCCCTTTGCCTAACAGCCATCGATTCTACGGGTACTGTAGCGCTTCTAACCCTGTGGAGGTCACCTCAGCCCCACAGCTAGAACTGAGGCACCCCATCAATTCTGCCTGCTTTGCTGAGCTGCTCCCATCCTGACTATAACCTTGGACCACTGCAGCATCCACTTGTAGGGAAGAGAGCTATGAAGAGCCTGAAACAGCTGGCAGGGATTACATAGGAAAAATAGGCCAAACCAAAAAAGAGAGGAAAAACCCTGTTAATTATGAGATTAAAAGTTTGATTTTAAAAGATTAAGTTCAAGTCAGTACTTGGGAGGGAGAGGAAGGTAGATATCTTAAGTTTGAGGCTAGTCAAGTCTACAAAACAAGTTCCAGGACATCCAAGGCTACACAGAAACCCTGTCTCAGTAATAAGCAATAGATTAAGTGTGCTGAGGAAATGGTTCAATGGTAAAGTGCTGGTATGCAAACAGGACAAATTCACTCTAGTACCCATGCCTTGTGTGATAGCCCCCGTGCTAGGGAGCTGAGACAGGTGACAAGACAGCAAGTCTAGCCAACATGGGCTCCAGTGTCAGTGAGGACCTCTCAGAAATTAACTCCGAGAGTGACAGAAGACTTCAGATGCACCTAACGCCCCTCTCTACGCACTAAGCAAAGAGACCATCTCCTGATAAGATATTTACAACATGGAACTGAAAAAAGTCTAGGAGCTGGAGAGATAGCTTGGCAGTTAAGAGCATTGGCTGCCTGGATTCTGTTCCATGCACTCACAAAATGGTAGACAAGCATAACTCCAGTTCCAAGGGATCCGGCCTTCTTGAGCACTGCACATACATGGTGCACAGATGCAAGAAAACACCCATACACATTTTTTTAAATAGGTGGCTCATAGATGTTTAGCTATGCCTAATGCTTTACACAGTCTGCCCGTTGACACACTCGTTTTTATATAGCCTTCAAAATGCCACACATGTAAGTGCCACACATGGAGCCGTCCCTGAGCACTGCCTGACGTGTGCGCTCTCACCCAATCACTGCCTCCCTCCCCATCTGGTTTGTGTCCTAGACCATAGTTGCCATTCAATGCTCTGGAAAGAGCACAGGGCCTGGCTCAACAGAGCCCGATGTCCTTGAAGGGGGAGCATGTGCAGCAGCCTTTATCAAAGTGTATCTTTTGCAGGCCATCTGCCAATCCACTAAACAATAAGTACTGAGCACTAAACAACACACAAGCATTGGGAACCAGGTGAGCCAGGCACAGTCTCCACCCCTCTAAGCCTAGATGGTTCAGTGAGGATAACCGCATGTGAACTAGTAAACCATGGCTATCTACAAGACTATCTGTAGGGGAAGAGGAAGCATATCTGAGAAGGGCTACTTAAGCTGGACGTGACAGTGCACACCTGTAATCCCAGCATCTGAGAGATGGAGAAAGGAGAATTAGTAGTTCATGCCAGCCTGAGTTACCTGAGACTGTCTCAAAATGAAAAGTGGGCTGGAGAGATGGCTTAGTGGGTAAAAATACTGTTCTCCCAGAGGACCCAAGTTCAGGTCCTAGCATCTTCAGCGGCTATTGGCTGACGGAGCGGAAGGCCCTCCCACAGCACCGTGGGCTCATGCTTCAGCGACTATTGGCTGAAGCAGCGGAAGATACTCCCGCAGCAAGCATCCACACCAGGTAGCTCACAGCCACTTGTCAGCTCCAGGGTACTCAATGCAGCTCAGGGCCTTGGGGTTCTCTTAAGGGAAGCTACTGAACAACTTTCAGAAAGGAAATGAACGTCAAACCCCAAAGGCCAAAACCAGAGATGGCAGCGGCTAAGACAATGGTGAGCAGTGTAGGGTGGCACACATACCCGGTCAAAGGTGGGAGGGTACTCTGCAGCAAACTCTAGCTGACGGATGATCACTTCATTCACTGGGACGCTGTTCTGCCTCATGTCCTTCAGGATATCAATGAGATAGGCATAGTCCAGCTTCTTGAGGGCCGCGTTGATGAGAGTGCTGTAGATGTGGGTGTTAGGGGCCATCTGGGATTTCTAGAACGTGGACATCACATGGTCAGCAGGATGATGGTGGCTGCTAGGACAAGGGAGTCTGCTAGGCCCGATCCACAGACAGGTCTGCTTCACAGACTAGGCACCAGAAACAAGACGGGTGGAACCGTACAGCAACACCTCGGCTGTCAAATCCCATACTAAAGCAAGTTTGCCCTGTCACTTCAACCCTGAAGAATCTGGAGAGAAAGACTGCTCGGGCGTCAACAGACAGGAAACGAGGTGTAAATACCTCCACACTCTCACTCTTGGCTGCAGCTTACTGCTCAAAGGGTCTTCACCACAAGGTGGGGGTCAGTCTCTAACAGCAAGCATTAGTAGAGGGGTAGAATGTGGGAACACAACTTGGTCCTTATAGAAGTGGTCGCTGCTGGGGTCGGCTGGAATTGAATGTGCAAGACCTTGTGAGGGCCTGAGAATGAGCATCAGAGCGGCCAGAGCTGAAAACTACCCTGTGCTCTCCAAACTTCTAGTCCATCTCTCCTCTGCCCAGAGCTCCCATCCCTCCGGCGTGTTAGGGCTCAGCCTCATTCACATCTCTCCACTGGAACCAACAGTCCCTTCAAGATGGAAACACATTCTATTCCGCAATACCTCACAGATTCTGTTCATTCCCTCAGGGGGTTACGGCCATTCCTGCTCCAGACTCATCTGATCCTGCTGGGTCCTATTTTCCCCATAACTTCTCGAGAACTCCCTGGATTTTCTCCCAGAACTGGGGGCATCCTGCTTGGGCTTGGGCCTCTCACCTTCATGTCCGCAAGCAGCTGCATACCATCCTTGGGTCTACGGCACCCAATGGCCAGATTGCAGAAAGTCCGCAGATTGGGGACAATTCCCTTCTTTGCCAGGACTGGCAACAGCGCCTGTGAGACAGACATGCAGCTGCTACCTGAGACCTACAAGCCCTGGCCAGATGTCCTGATGAATTCTTTCGCTAGACGCTAGAAACCCAGGGACACCATTGCTCAGAGGCCTCTTGACTCCCTCAGCTGACTACATGGCACTGCTGGTCTCTGCTCAGCCCCAGAGGACTGTCTTTTTAGCTTGTCCAGAGGAAGGTGCGCTCTGCACTGTGGCCATTTCTCTGTCACCTTTGACCCCCACAGATGCCCAGGGCACTGCTTCTGTCAAAGCGCATCTCATAAAAACTGACTGTGCAAGTGACAAAACCCTGTCTGGAGCCTGGCTGTCACCTCTGTGAGCTGGGGAAAGCTGTACACAGACTGCGTCTCCTGGCCTGCAGAAGAGAAGCAGAGAGACCTGAAGCTGATGACAGCACAGAGTACGTGCAGTGTTAGGATGGGGTGGCGAGAACACTCCAGAGACCTACTGGGGTGCCTCACGATGAACCTATCTTTTTGAGGGAGGATGCTGAGCCAGGGTCTCAATATACTGCCTTGGCTAGTCTGGGATTCACTATGTAAACTGGACTAAAACTTAGAGATCTGTTTACTCTCAAAAGAAAAGGTCTCAAGGACTTTAGGCTGGCACTGAACTCTCAATCTGGCTATGCTAGATTGTTTTATGTCAACTTGACATATGCTAGAGAGAGCTGAAAGGAGGGACACTCAACTGAGAAAATATATACATAAAATGGGGCTGTAGGGCATTCTCTTAATTAGTGATTCATGGGGGAGGGCCCAGTCAAAGTAGGTGGTGCCAGCCCAAGGCTGGTGGTCTTGGGTTCTATAAGAAAACAGGCTAAGCAAAGCATGAAGCAAAACCAGTAAGCAGCACCCCTCCATGGCTTCTGCATCAGCTCTTGCCTCCAGGTTCCCTTGTTAGAGTTCCTGTTCTGACTTCCTCAGTGATGGACTACAAATGTACAAATGCATAAGTCAAACAAATCCATCTCAAATCACTGTTGGTCATGGTGTTTCATCACAGTAAATAGGAACCAAAGCTAAGACAGTGGCCAAGGATGATCTTAAATCTTTGATCCTCCATCCTCCAATCCCCAGCTCCTAGGATTATAGGTGTGAATCAGGTTATGCAGTGCTAGGAATGAATCCCAGGATCACATGTGTGCCAGGCAACTCTACCAGTTGAGCGACCCTCAGCCCCACAGTGGCATTTTTTGTTTTGAATGTGTATAGGTGTGCCTGCATTGACGTCTATGTACTACTTGAATGCTTAGTGCCCATGGAAGCCAGAAGAGGGCATCAGATCCCCTGAAACTGGAGTTACAGATGGTTATGAGCTG